AAGACACCAGGGATCCGGCATCAGAAAGCTGACATGCTCCAGGCTGAGAGGATTGGTTTCCTTAAGTCATTCTGAAAATCCTTGGGATTTTTTTCTTTTATTCTTTTTATGGAGAAAACAAAAAGTTCATTGTGATTAGACCCATATTAACTCGTTTCCATGATGCTTGCCCCCTTTGGCACCCACCCAGCCTGCAGCATCAGGCTGATGGACGGCTGCTCCCGTGCTGCTGTATCTGTTCCTCAACTTTTGTGTTCTTACACCAAAAATCCTCAGTAAAGAAGAACTCGGTGAGCTGCCCTACTTCTCATCGTATAAAACATTAAACCAAATCCTTCAGTGTTGGGTTCCTGCTCTTGATTTGCGTCCAGTGCCGCTTTTACAGAGCTGATGCTGGAGCTGTTGTACTCTGAAGACAGAAATGTGTTCAGCTGAGTGTCCACAGAGGAGAGGAATGCTCTGTGGCTGTTTCCACATCACTCGGCTCATTGTGCATCACCAACCCATGGAGCTGGAAATCCTGGAATAAGAAACGCCCATAAATCTGTATATGGGGCCCAGCATGCAGCTCAGGCATCCAGCCTGTACACCAGGGCCAGCTCGGCCTCAGCCAGCCTTGCTTGAGCAGCCCCTCCTGGTGACACCACCACCTCTCCTCGGGTCCCAGCCTCCTCTTGCTGCCATCAGGTGTCTGACCACACACAAGGGGAACGCCTTTGGTACCGGTGACAGCGCAGCCATGTGGTGCAGGTCCTAGGAGTGGAAAACAGATCGGCTGCTTCTTGACGGTGCATTGTTAAAGGTTTCACCTCCCCCAAAATGACACATTGCGAGCAAAAATAGAACAAGACAGAACACACAGACCCACCCACACCATCCCCACCACCCAACAGCCATGTGCACGTGGTGCCAAATCCTTAGTTTTAAAAGCTGATGCTTTTTCACCCTCCTTCTCCACAGCCCTGCCACCACCTGCCCCGGCCTGGAGTGTGGTTTGGCATCCCAGGACCATCACACCGGGAGCCGCTATGCTATCGCCAGGCTGCTGGGAGGATCGCCATCCAACCTGCACCGTGCTCTGGATCCACCTCAGTCTTCACCTAATAGGTCTGGGGACGGGGATGTCTCCTGGCAATGGTGTTTGTGGAGGAAATTCTCTCGCCCGCTGCACGGTGGTGCTGTTGAAGCGGTGAGAGGGATAGGTTTGGCTGGGAGAGCCACCTCCGGCATGGCGGCACAGCGCGGCACAGCTTGCTGTGAGCTGGGGCCGTCTCCTGCGGACTACGAGGGAAGCTGCTTCCCAACCACGGAGCTGGGTCCAATTTCTTGAGTGCTGCCGGTGTGTGCTAAGCACAGTTGGACAAGGCAAGGATCTGGCTGGAAAACCTCCAGGAAAGGAAGAGTTGCTCCAGGAGATGGTAGAACTGTCAGCTGTTTGTCGGAGGCACATAATGAGGCTGAGGCTCTCAAGAGCAGGCAGTTAAACTTGCAGGGGAATTTACCAGGGCCTTTGTGAGTTTCCCCTGTGATCCTGTTCTGGGGGCACAAAGTCACCCCACTAGCTTCACATCCAAGGATTTTGAATGTCAGGAGCAAAGCTGGAGCAGAGATCAGTGGTGGTGACTTGTGGGAAGGGCTGGAGGGGCTCAGGCTGGCTGTTAGGGAGGAGAGGAGCGGAGAAGTGATGGCGCCAGTCCCCACATCCCCAGGACAAACTGCCATGGCCGAAGGGAGGTTTAGGCATGAGGGGAGACTTCTTCCCGCTGAAGCTGGCTGAGGACAAGGATGGTTTGGCTGGGGCACATGTCACCTAGCCAGCCCAGGAGGGCTCTGAGTATGAGGCAGCAGGGGCAGAGCTCGTCCCCAGCAGCCTGCACATGGAGGCAGGGATGGCTGTGAAACATTCCTCCATCACCCGGTGTGCTGCTCTAGTTAGGTTCAGAGGGAGTGAGGACAGAACTATCCCGTGGGGGACGGTCAGGGCTGGGAGGAAGACTGCTGTCACTTGTTCAGTAGCAGTAACATGCAAAGAGAAGTTCA